AAAAAGAAGAAGGGAAGGGAAGGGAAAGGGAAAGGGAAAGAAAGAAAAGAGAAAGGAAAAGAAAGGAAAGGACAAGGATAGGAGTAGGCATAGGAATGGGAATAGATATAGCATAAATCTCTTCTTTGTTTTCAGGAAAAACGAGCAAAAGGAGGGGAAGCAGTCACCCATCCACCTGCTCTGTCAAGCCTTGGAAAATTCAGGCTGTAAATTAAAGGTGTTAAGGTACATTGCTCCTCTCTGCCAGGAGAAATGGGAAAACAAGCAAACCCCAGGCTCTTCACGGCTGGGGATGAAGTCACCTCCGTGCAGAGCCATTGAGAGCCTGCTGTGCTGCGGTGGGGACCACAGGCACCGGCTTGGCCCGTGCCAGCCCCGCCAGGTCTCCTGGCTGCTTGGGGAGGATGACCATGTGTTGCCACAGCTCGCTGCACGGCGGGACGGGCTCTGCTCTCCTCCCGGGAGGTCGTCCTTGAAGACCAGCCCGGTTTGTGGACGGCATCAGCGGCGGCTGTCTTGTGTCCGGGCAGCCGTGCCGAGCCCCGCGGCTCCTCTCCACATCTCCCTTGCAGGTTCAGCCAGTGTCAGCTCACAAGCCCCTGCTGCGGGGCTCTGGCCTCTGTTATCAGCGCAAAACCCACGCTGACGGACCTGGACCTGGCTGGGAACGAAGACCTGAGGGACGACGGCGTGAAGCTGCTGTGCGAGGGGCTGAGATGTGGCACCTGCCAGCTGCAGACACTGCGGTAAGAGACGTCGCCAGGTCCGGGAGGCTGCAGGGCCACTTGGCTCTTCTCCTTGAGAGCCTGGAAGAGGGAGGAAAAAAGAAAAAGAAAGGAGAAAAGCCCATTTACCGATGCTGCGGTTGCTGAAGCTAGCTCGAGGCGTCGCAGACCTACTTGCCTGACCCTTATTATTGCCTTTTCCATCAATATAATTTAGTTCCACATTTTTAAATGTATGAGTATCTGCTAGGACACTGTAGAAAAGTAAGAGCATTTTGGCATTTTCAGTGCTGAGGCCAGATGGAGAAGTTAGAGGAGAGGCCTGTGCTACTGTCCCCACTGTTTGATGTCTGTGGGTGTCTCTGTGCACCCCAGGCACCTTCTCCCTGGGCTCTTGCCCTGCAGCTCCGGGTGGTTTTGGGTCCCTGTGTGCCCGAGCAGGGCAGGGCTGGCCACACACCATACAGAAACACATAATTACAGAAGCAGATTCACCCCAGGGACCGTTTCTGGGAAGGGGATGAACCGTCACTTAGAGGTGTCTACAATTTCCACCCCATTTTTTTTGGTAGTGTTTCCCTTTCCCCCATTTTTCCCTGGTATAGATTCAGCCCAGTCAGTGAGGTTTGAAAGAGAGAATGTCTCTGAAACTTCAAAAGTGAGGCACATTAATCTCACCCCTTCAAGCAATATTAATTGTTTGCCCCCAGACCTTTCCTCCCTGGTTGAGCAGACGCTGGCTGGCCCTTACCTCTCCACGCCCACGCTGCGGCACAGCGGGATTGCCGGGCTGCCCTTTGGCATTGTGTGCTTTAGTGTTTGAGGGTTTGGGTTG